GATGTGTTTTTACACTTACGATCATTAAGGGTTTTGTTTTGGTAAAAATTGGGTTTCCCTTGACTAAGAATATCGATGAACGTAGTGAAGTCTTTTATACAGGTTCTGATGATTTTTTTCAGAAAAAGTCTGAAAGTTTGCTTACGCTGAGTTTTAATTTCTTTTTTATTTCCTTCAATTGTCTTTGTTAAAAGGAAGTTAAACTCCACTATTGAACAGTTAACTTTTAAGGTCACGAAAAAGGTGATTGGCTTCTAATTTTGAATGAGGAATAATTGTTAGATTTCCCAGCTGGATGGAAAATAACAATTGATCCAGTTCTTTCTAGCAGTCATGAAGAGTTCTTGAAATTCAAAGGTCTTTAATGTGATATGTTTTTTTTCAAAATTCGAAAGCTGAAAAGGGTTCAAAAGTTTCAATCATTTTTTTTTGGTTTGGCTTCTACCAATTGTCTGTTTGCTATGTTTCACATGACTGGATAAAAGTACAACTATGTACCGATAAATCTGTATCTGTCTATCTTTCATGTTTTCTATGCTTTCATCTTTTCATCGTTATGTCATTGGATTTGTAGTTTTATGATAAGTGTAAGTTTCAATGAACGACGGGAATTTTCCATCATTTATGGAAAATTCTTAAATTTTGTTAACACTTAAATTCATTTTTGGGTGGTTTAAATTTTTTTCTTAATTAAAAAAAATTATCCTCTGTTCCAGTTTTCTCTACTCGGATTAAATCAATAAAGTGCCAATCATAGAGGATTCTGTAAATACAAAAAGCTTAAATTTTACGTACGTTGAATTGCACTTTGGTTCCTTCTGCAACTCTTCCTTCTGCAACTTTTTTCTGGTTCATCTGGAGTTCATGTGATAGTTAATGCAACAGCAGACCCCAGAAAGTCTAGTTAAATGTGGCCAACCTGCAATTTTAATTTTAATTTTTCGGCCTACTATGAAGTATTATACAAAATCATTAAATTAATTTAATCACCCTTGTTCAGTGTATCAGATATATTATTCTTAAAATATATGCGCTTCATTGCTCAGCTGTTAAATATCTGGGAAATTTCCTACAATCTGTACGCAGATGACACTCAACTGTACTTACTCTTTGAAGTAGAAAATATTGTTGATGCAATCGGCCATGCAAAAGAAATAAGGATCAAGATACAATAAAAGGTGGAAAATTCTTGGAATTTGACTCACTGAAAATAGAAATTATCATTTTTGCCTCATACAGTAGAGTTGATTCGCTGCATAAGATTGTAGTAATCCCGCGAAAACTCGAGGTTGCTTTTTCAGCGCTGACGAAACGTTTATGGGTGCGCAAGTTAACCTGGTCATCAAAAGTGGCAATTATCATTTTAATTCGGAACTTTTTCTGAAAACTTTGCGCGGATATTTGTTCAGGCCCTTATATATCTCCTATCGTCTAGGTTTGTACAATAATGTGTCATATGACATTCAAAATTATCAATAAGTTCGCTTTTCAAAAGTGCAAAATTGATGTGTAAGACTGATTCATAATCTGTCAGCTCGGAGTAGTGTTTCTGAATTTTTGAATCTCCATTGGCTTCGTGTGAAAAACAGAACTATCTTGCAAATTTGTCTCGTGTTCTGGAAACTTCTGAATAATGTTGCACCTTCATATCAGCGGAATTTGTTGAACATAACAGATAGCTGTCTTCGTTCTGAAACTCAGAGAGAACTGATGACGCCCAATTTCTACTATTACTCTATTGCTTGCTGCCGCTTTTTCAGTTAGCGGGCCGATGTTATTCAATGAACTTCCCATCACTCTCAGAAAGTTCTCATCTCTGGCATTTTCAAGAAGAAACGAAGTATCACCTTTTCAAAAAACTGCTTTTTGTACTTCATAAGTCTTAACTCTTATTTTACTTTAACGAAGTAGATTTCACATGTGAAGTTTTTTTCGATAAGCTAGGTTGTTGCAACCGGGTACTAGAATTTTTTCCCATAAAGAACTTATTTCACAAGATTTTGCATATGAAAATGGAACACATGTTCAACTTGCTTCATAATAAATAAAAAATAAATCGACCATCCAGTGCATCCTGCTTAGAGGCAGCTTATCTGTTTGAGACGACAAAGGCTTAATTCTCTGTTTTTGTCGACTCTATTCTCGTAACACGGAATCTTTTTGAAGCTCAGCTTTCTTCTTAAGTTATAAATGCAGTTTCTAAAGCCCCATCGATGAAGTAATTGGGTTTAAGTGTTTCGGTTTTTGTTTCATTTTTTGGAATTTTCAAAATATTTTTTGAGTCTTTAGCTCCGGTAATTAATATACATGGAGTTATTACGCATGCGATTATCATGCTCGCTATACGCACTCGTTATCAAGGAGGAACATAGAATTTTTCTTCATTTCTTAAGTCTGCCTTTTCGCCAACCAACAGAAATATTTTAGGCATGTCTGCATTTCAAAACCCTTTTCTTTTCATTGCTTTTTCTTTTAGTTGGTTTTGAATTTTTTATTCCGTTACGGTATAATTTCCGTTTTTTCGTGTTTTGTTTGTTCAAAAACAAAGAGAAATTATGTCTCGGGTTTTTCTTGATAATCATCGTTTTTCTTCAAGTTCTTATGCACGAGAATAGTCATAAGTAGATAATTTCAACTGAGATATCAACTGTTTGTGTTTTTGGCTTTTGGTTTTGAAATCATTATGTTTTTTTGTAATCGGCATTTTGGTTTTTCAAATTGATACTTTTTTTTGTTTTCGATTTTTTTTTCATTTCACCAATTTAGCGATGATACAACTTTTGTGCTTGAGATTGTTTTTCTCTTGTACTGGTTATCGTGTTTGGCAAAACTTTGCTGAGTTCATTTTTTCAAATATTTTTTTTGATTGAAGATTTTTCAATATTCTTTGAAGTTGTTTTGTCTGATCATTTTCTTCTTAGTCTCGAGAAAGCAATCATCAGAACTTAGAGTGTAATCTGGTCGATATTTTTGTATCTTGTTTGAATTTTTTTTGATAGGAAGTCCCCATTTTGGCTAGTTTTTAGTAGCTATTCTTGCGATGATTTCGTTTTTTGTTATTATAAATTGTTTGAGAAGTTTTCGTTGTTTCCGTAGATTTAGTATGCTTAGTATCGACTGTTTTTTCTACTTATGATCACCCTGGTCTGTACTTGATTTAAATTGTTTTCATTATCATATTTCCCAGTGAAATGAAAATTTTACTCAGTACATTTGGTCGGTTTTATGAAAAAGTATCAAGCATAAAGATTCCTAGTGTTTAAAGGGCTTTAAGGTGATGTGTTTTTTCTTCGAAATTCCAAAGTAATTTTTCTCCATGCCTCGATTTAATTGACACTTTTCTAACCCTCTGTGGGATATGTTTTGCTGTAACAAGTGTTTAAATGTTTTAGAACACAGTTAGGCTTTTTTCCACTTTCAAACAAAGCAGTTTAAGTAAATTTTGCAAATCTGATTTTTTGATAAGTATTTTTTATTCTTTCATTCAAAAAGTTTGTCGGCTCTTTTTTAGGTCAACTGAGCTCCCGGAAAACACATTTCAGACCCAATTTTGCATGCAAATTTTTTGGAAAATCAAGCTTTTGGAAAAAGGCAGTTTTGGCCTTGTTTTTGCAGGTTTCAGACCAAAAAAATGGCATTTTAGTCGGAGCCCTTACACCTCAAAGATGGTAATTATAGACGCCAGAGGAGTTTTCAGAAATTATTAAGATCGGTTGGTCCAAAATGGATGTCGAAATCAGTACAAAAGGGAACCCTTTGGGTGGTGGAGGACTCAATTGTTTGAGAAGAAAGTCTTGTCCGCCCTTGCCTATGACAAAGCATTCGAGCTCATTTTTGCTAATTTTTGGAGTTAAAAGAAAACAAGGTTTCCATGTCACGTCATTCTTACCACAGGTGGTTGTGGGTCGAAAGTTATGTAGCGCATAACCCTTTCTATTTTTGATAACGCTTCTCTTTTTTTTTTTAGAAAAATTAGAAGTTAAATACCAAATTTTTAAGTTTCGCTTCTACGAAAAAACATGAGTCAAAATGTTTTCTTTATCTGACATTAATGAATAACTTGTAGTCAAAAATGTTTTCTGTATCTGACATTAGAAATGATTACTTCTGTTATCTTACCCAGTGGTGATCCGTCATGATTTTTGAAAAGAACATGTCTCCCACTCTAAAAGTTCCTCGACATGTTGTTCTCAACAAAAAAGTCAAGATGATTTCCAACTAAATTTGAAATTACAGATGCTACCTCAGATAGACCTTGTCGATGATGATAGCATTTACGTATCATACTTGCTTAAGTTGTTGAGTGAAATAAATATATTGTGATCAAGAAAGAAAGATGTTGAATCAAAATCACAGAGCCTTAAAAAGCTGATATTTCAGTTAGTTTCTCTACAATTGGTCAAAAACTTAATAACTTTGTACCCAGCTCAGAATCAAGCATTCATTTAAGAGCGTTCTTTGTGTTGGTTCATATATATTTTTTTTTCATGAACTTGTTGATGTCCTAAATCAGCTAAACATTCTACAGGAATTGACTGCGCGAGTCATTTGTTTTTTTTTAGTGGAAATTGTTGACACTTTGCTTTTGCTCACAAAGCTACGTTTCTGATTAGTCTGTTTGATTTTTGAAAAAATTTAATGCCCAGGAAGTTTTAATCTACTTAGCAATCTCAAACTTTTTAGCGATTCTTATGCAGCTAATTCAGCAAATTAAATCGTTTTTTTTTATTAATCAGAATGCGTGAAAATTCGAATTCTCAAAAACCAGAAACCTCTCCATTGCAAATTCTGTTAGATTAATTGTTTAAAATTAAATACTTGAACGACAGTAAAAACTGATTTTAGGCGAGGAAATTCTGCAGTTGATGTTAAAGTGGGTGATATTGTGTTAGATATCGACTCTTTTTGGCGAGCAGTACGCCACAATCTGTACATTACAATGCTCCCTTACATTTCATGATAATTATAGATAAGTTTTAACTTTTATGCATTTTTTCCAGTATTCGGCATGAACAATGGCCACAATGGGGTGGGGGTTGATGAAGTTATGGACAGTAGCAGTGGCAATCAGCAGACGAGGAGTGGGGGAGGGGTGTTGTACCCCATGTCATTTTCCCAACCACTAGTGACTCTGTACCCGCTGAGTAACTACACGTTCGGAACCAAAGAGCCATTGTTTGAAAGGGATACAAACATTTCACAGAGGTAACGAAAAAAAAACAGTTCGTTTGTTGAGGCGGAACACTAAGTAATTCTCTTCTGATCAAGTGTTGTCCAATTTTTCAGCTGATTTGTTGGTTAAATGTAAATGTGAGTTTCCGAAGAGCTCAATGTAGGTGAGAGACTGTTTGGTTATTAAAATAAGAAACGTTCATAGATTCATGTTACAAAAAACGATTTTTTGCTTTAAAAAACACATTGATCGATTGCTGTTGAAGAAGCAATCTATAAAGATAATAAGTTCCTCTTCGTTAAATTAAGAGGACTTAGAAAAAGAAAAGCGAAGCGCATTCAAATAAGACTTCGCCTACGAGGCTACAACCTCACCTCTCTCAATACTCTTGGAGTCTCAGCAGGCTGCTCAAACGGGTCATATTTTGGTCACTTATCTGGCTGCTTATCTGGCTGCTTCAGGGAATCTTGACAATTGTATTGTTTTGTAAAATCTAGTTGAAGAGCTGCAGGATAAGCAAGCAAAGCTGGAGGTGTATTAAAATGCCGTTGTTGAACATTCTGATGCAATTTCTGCAAGTTTGATAACTAAGTTGTTCTGAGAGAAAAGTTGTTTTTTAGCGACTTAGAAGCCAAAACTGCTAGTTCGCCAAAAATGCTAGGTCCGTTTTTTCTCTGATCAATTTGAACATCCTGAGTCGCAAACTATAAGCCTTATGAGGGCAATTATTTGAAAATATCTCACCTAAATTTTTCGGTCCGCCCAGATCCGTATGCCTTGAAGAAGGCTTCACAGCCGTAGAAAACCAGCTGCTCAACAACTGTGATACACAGTTGCTTTGAGACATAAATGCTCACGGTACAGCCCCAAATGAATTCTAGAAGATGACCGAGGGGCAAACTACGCCGATGGACGATCAGCATCTCTCTAGTTCCCATTAAATACTGAAGAACTAAACCACCTTGCCTACTACTCATACAGCCTCCTCAACTGACATAGCATTCGCAATCACTATCACTAGAAACCATTCGAACCACTCTTATCTCTCAACACTTTCCCATAATTATATCAATTGACTGTAATTTCTCATCTGCTAGCAACTAACAAGAATTTACAAATTCTGATGCAGCAGATTCGGGGAGTTTCGCTAAAAGAATAGACGAGAAGTTATATTATCGAAAGCGATCCATATGATGTCAGAAAAAGCGCGAAAGTCATTAGCGAAGCCCTATCGGAGGCATCAACTGAAAGCAGCGTTACTGATATCTCTTTGGCCGCAGAACTCAAACCACTGGAAAGCCCAAGCCAAAAAAGGCAAAGAAGCTTTGTGCAAAAAGCCTCTGTAGGAAATATCTTGGCCAAATGAAGGAAACAATGTCATAACGGCACAAAGCAATGATCAAAACGATTCTTGAATAAGCCGCCCTTACAAAGTACAAAGTAACAAGCAACTGACATAGCATTCGCAATCACTATCACTAGAAACCATTCGAACCACTCTTATCTCTCAACACTTTCCCATAATTATATCAATTGACTGTAATTTCTCATCTGCTAGCAACTAACAAGAATTTACAAATTCTGATGCAGCAGATTCGGGGAGTTTCGCTAAAAGAATAGACGAGAAGTTATATTATCGAAAGCGATCCATATGATGTCAGAAAAAGCGCGAAAGTCATTAGCGAAGCCCTATCGGAGGCATCAACTGAAAGCAGCGTTACTGATATCTCTTTGGCCGCAGAACTCAAACCACTGGAAAGCCCAAGCCAAAAAAGGCAAAGAAGCTTTGTGCAAAAAGCCTCTGTAGGAAATATCTTGGCCAAATGAAGGAAACAATGTCATAACGGCACAAAGCAATGATCAAAACGATTCTTGAATAAGCCGCCCTTACAAAGTACAAAGTAACAAGCAACTGACATAGCATTCGCAATCACTATCACTAGAAACCATTCGAACCACTCTTATCTCTCAACACTTTCCCATAATTATATCAATTGACTGTAATTTCTCATCTGCTAGCAACTAACAAGAATTTACAAATTCTGATGCAGCAGATTCGGGGAGTTTCGCTAAAAGAATAGACGAGAAGTTATATTATCGAAAGCGATCCATATGATGTCAGAAAAAGCGCGAAAGTCATTAGCGAAGCCCTATCGGAGGCATCAACTGAAAGCAGCGTTACTAATATCTCTTTGGCCGCAGAACTCAAACCACTGGAAAGCCCAAGCCAAAAAAGGCAAAGAAGCTTTGTGCAAAAAGCCTCTGTAGGAAATATCTTGGCCAAATGAAGGAAACAATGTCATAACGGCACAAAGCAATGATCAAAACGATTCTTGAATAAGCCGCCCTTACAAAGTAACATGCGGCAAGCGCATATTACATCCAATACTTAGAAACTATACCAAACGCAGCCCTCCAAACTCTCACCGGATAATCAGTTGTCAAAAATTGACCACCTTCACACCGAACCATCACAATGCGCTCGCGGTTTTAAGAGTCGATGAACATAGTTCAGACTCTTATATAGGTCCCGATAGTTTTTTTAGGAAAAGTCTTAAGTTTCTTTAAAAAAGTTACTTTTTTGGGGTTTCACTTTTGATTTCTTTTCAAGTTGAGCTCGTTTCCTTTGTTAAAAGGAAGGTAAACTCCACTATCGATCAGCAAAAGTGTAAAAGTCACGAAAAACTTTAATGACTTCTAGTTTCGAAGGTGAAATTTAGTTTTCAAATTTTCCAGCGAAATAATAGTTTTACTTATTGATCAAGTTGCCATGGGTTGTTTCTATCAAAAGTGCGTATCATGAATTGTTCTGAAATTGAAAGAGTTTTTTCTGTTAACTTGCATTCACTGACTCTTTTCCAACTGTCTGTTGGCTATGTTTCTTGCTGCCACTTGAAAAGCTCTTCCATGTGAAAATTAAATCCACAAAGGGATACAAATACACACGGAACACCCAATCAAGCAGCAAACAGGTTTCTAATTAAACCCAAAAGCAAAACGAATATTGCTTAGCACAAAAACAGTCAATAACTCGTATAAGTTCTGCCAAAAATAGCTTGAGTTAAGTAATTGAGCAATTCATACAATTTTCATGCAAATCGAATGATTAAATAAGCAATTTCTGTCTGCGGAATAAAAAATGATCTGTGATGCTTGAATTTTATATCCGGATGAATTATTGGGCTTCTCATCTTCTCAACTATACAGAAAAATACCACATCAGAACCATAGGCTCTTTTCCACTCACCTATATCACTTTTCGAATTTTTATTTTTACTTGCGACGAACTTTAGTGTAATAGTACGACTCTTATTTTTTTATGCTATTTTTTATGCTTATTCTAGCCTAAGTCGCAAATATTGGTGCCTTTCTTGGGGCACCTTTACAGCTTTTTGATAGCATGTGCTCTGACGTTCGATAAGTAATAAGTTGACACATTTGATGCATTTTTTCATTGTTCAAATGATCCGAAAAAAGCTATTTGATTCAAATATCAGTACAATAATAAAAACTCGATTTCAGAAGATTTCCAACTCAATATATTTTGCATTTTTTTTGAAATGCTTAGTTTATATATAGTTTGGCCTGGTGATTTCGTATTTATTACCTGCAAAGTTACGTGGGTGCCTTCAGTTTGTTAGATTTCAAATTATCACATGCCAAATTGAGTCTTTTTGTATTTGGTGCCACTTTTGCAGCATTTATTGGCAATTTATTAGGATATGTAGCTGCTTTATTTGTGACTAGTATTTGTTGGTTGATAAGCGTCCGTGGCCGAGCGAGCAGGGCGTGAGACTCCTAATCTTAAGGTTGCTGGTTGGAATCCGATACGAAGCAAAGTTTTGCTAATTCGAGGCTCAGTTCTGTTTTTTCTTTATTCACATTATAAAGCTGCTTTATATTAAAAAGTGTTTTCGCTAGTGTTTGCGAAGCACAACTTCGTCTCTGTGTTTCATAGTTGTTATACCTGTTATTGCGGGTAATTGCTCGATGTTAGGTTTGTAGAAAAATTTTGTTCATATAAGATATTTTTGCCATCATGATAAATTTCATTACAATGTTTCAAAAACTGAAATATCTACTGTGAGGCGAAGTGGAAAAGAGCCGAATCATTTCCTAAAATAAAGAAAATGGCGTTAAAGTTCTTGCCGAATGAAATTCTTCTTATAAAATTCTTCTTATAAAAAGGTTAATTAAGATATGTGATGATTTAATTGCAAGAGCTCGCCAAACGATTCGTTGCACTCACGTGTGAATTTCGAACCGGCAACCATATGACTATATTTTGATGTGCTTCGGCTCAACTCCCGCCTTACTAAATTGGGCTTTGCTTCCGTGGGGTAGGTAGATCGATGTTATCCATTTTGCCGTAGCCATTCCCACCTTGAGGAGGCGGATGACACTGGAACCCTTCCAACCGTGACCGAAGTGGGATTCGAACCCACGACCTTTGTGTTGGGTAGCCAACTTCACTGCCACTTGCACCTAAATGACCTTGTTGTATCTCGTGTGTTTTGTGTTGTAGGTTCCAGCGCATGCGGGAGGAGTACGAGGTGACTGGGATGCGCAGAAGTGTCGAGGGGGTGCTACTTGTTCACGAACACAACCTGCCCCATGTACTACTGCTGCAGATAGGCAAGTCCCATAAAATAGTACAGGGATGTAATTTTTCAGGGGTGATTAAATTGTTTCATATTCGAACATATTTTAAAAACTTAATCGTAGACGAAGATGCCTCTTTTCAAGTTTCCCCACCCCTCTCGTAAAATTACGAAGTAAGGTTGCTGGAAAATTGTTCAAGCTGTGATTTAAACTTAAGAAATGTTGTTCGAATTTGTTCACTCTGTTAAAATCGAGATGGCAGTGAGATTTAAAAGAGCCACAAAGGATATAAGGTTCATATTTAGGGTGTATAAAGATCTTTCGGATATAATTTTGACGCTTTGAACAAAATTGATTTTAATATACTATTGTATGGAACTTTTTTCTTAATTATGTTTTCATGAGTAATATAAATAAATAGCCAGTTATCCAATTCAACCCAAACTTGTTTATACCCTGAATTGGAACCTTCTTTTTTGTTCGTTATGATTGGATTTTTTTTTTACATTTGAGCATTACAAACTTAACTAATAGAGCTGAAGTTAAGAAGGGGGTTTGTTCACACGGTCTGTTACGATTCTTGGTTTTACTCAAAATCAAAAGATGGTACATATTATTATTGAACGTCTACCATTTTTGTTCTAAAAGGTCAACATGTTTTATAGTATTTTGTTTTTTGACAGGAGCGTCTTTCTTCAAACTGCCAGGCGGAGAAGTGAAGTCGAATGAGACGCCAATCGAAGCCCTCCGTCGTCTACTGAACGACATCCTGGGCAAGCCATCGAACGAACAGGGCCAGGGGGATCCAACGCCAGAAGGCGACGACTCCTCCTCGCCTCCCCCCTCCAGTTGGGTGATCCAGCAGTTGTTGTCCCAGTGGTGGAGACCCAACTTCGAACCCCCTCAGTACCCCTACATTCCAGCGCATATCACCAGACCCAAGGTAAATGCGAGGGGGTGACATACCTACTTCTGCCATCTTCTCCATCACGTGACAATTCACAACCGAGCCGCAAGTGCCGAAAAAAATGTCGATAACTTGAAACTAGACTGAAACTAAATCGAAATCTGAAGTCTAGCAATTTGGATAGCTCTTGCGAGACCAATTGCTTGCTGTACTAGGCTGCCCCTTTAACTCGTTTCAAGATTCATTTGTTAAAGAGCCAATTTTTTTCTCGAAAATAATTTTTTTCACATGATGACTGAAATTGGTAGTCATCTCCATCTGAGCTTTTGTAAACAAACCGACAATTTTTGAGCATGTCTGCATTTCAAATGCCCGTTCTTTTCGAAATTAGTTTGAATTTTGGCAATTTCAGTCTATCCGTTTTTGTTCCGACTTTAGTAACGAAAGTAACGGAATAATTGTGCTCGGGGTTGGTTTTTTTTTCTTCAGACAAATTTCGACTTTTTACCTAGCCATTTTTGACGGAACTTTTTTACATCATTCGAAAGCTATTGTTGTCCTAAGCTTAAATTCGAAAAGATATTCTACCTGTGATCTTTTTTTGGTAAAGTTATGGGGGTTTAAAGATTGCCATTTTGGCCAAATTGGGACAATTAACGCTCGATATATTTTGCGCTGTTAACGCGTAAGCGGAGATTTAATCTGTCTTAGAGTTGTTCCAAATTGGTCGAAAGAAGCTTATTTGCCATAATTGATTTGCTACCAGTGGGGAAATTTATCACTTTGTACTTTAAATGGCGTGTGGGGGATGATTTTCAGAAAAACTCAAGTTTTATAATAAAAAAAAACTTCATTTTATTTCATTACTTTTAATTTTTCGATGTTATCACTGCTCCATAGACTTTAAAGGCAGTCGGAGCATTCAGGGTTTCGCCCTGATACGAGCAGCCTTGTTTGTTTTTGTTTTCTTTTTATTCGGCCTAAAAGTCTTGGGTGTATAATATATCAGCTTAGCGGCGTCTTTTTGAGTCGTTTGAGGAGTTAAAATTGTTTTTATTGAAATGTTTTAAGGGGGATTTAAACGCTTTTTTGAGCTTTCAATTTTTTTATAATAAAAAACAATTTGTTTTTCTGTGCCATTCAAGAATTGTTGGCGTTGTTACTGGTTTGTAAGGTGTTTCGATGTTAATTTATTTTTCAAAAACTTTTTTCAGAGGAATTTTTTCAAGACAAACATAGTTAGGTTACATTTTTTTTCACAAAAATATCAATTTTTTGATATTTGATGTTTTTTTTTCTACGGCTCTCATCCTTTTCTGTCGGATAATTTGTCAAGCTGTGTATGTGATATATCACATATGGTCCACTGCTTTGCTTCCCTTCTGTGTTATAAAGTGGTTTTACTAATACGTTTTTAGACGTTAAAAATTTTTAAGCTGCAAGACAGATCAGTGTATTGACGTATAATGAAAAAATCTTTTAATTGTTAATCGTTTGATCCGAATATCGTATAAAGTAGAATAGTATATTTTGCCTTTTGTATAAAAAACGTTTGACCGTATATCTTGACATCAAAATCCTAACTCATGTTACAGGAACTGCTCTTTAAAATAGCTACAGCAACTAAGGCTTTTTTTATTGTTTTTATTGCTCGATTATATTTTTAATGGAAAAATCTCAGATTGCTATTAGAAAGCATTTTATATCGGACTTGAGCTGCTCCCTATATCGATCAATCTTACAGTAATTGATGAAAGAATTCAAAAATCAGTAGCAAATTATCGGTTTCGTATTGTTTAATTCATCGCATAAGTTTGATCTCTCGTATAATCTTATATCATACAAGGATTTTTCGTGTAATTTGTCGTACATCGTAAAACGTCTACAAAACTCTGCGCCATAATTTTCTTCCACTTTTTTATGATATCTTTTTATCAATTGATGTACTGATTTTACTGTTTGTTCTCAGAACATGCTCATCGCTGGTCTGCAAAATGTATGGCGTTGTCACCTGTAAAACCATAAATAGTTCATTGAAATAATTGTACTCATCTCTTTACCTTTGCAAAAAGCAAGGGTATTGCAATCGGGTATAGACTTTTTCCCGGAAATAACTTTGTTCACAGAATGGCCAAAATTGGAAATCGTAAATGGGTTCAGTTCATAACATTTGGTCTGAAGGTAACGAATGAGCCTGGGATGGCAAAGGGTAATCAATCCGTTTCAAAATAATTGTCGGCTTATTATTGTTTGCTCATGTTTTTTCACCTCAGTTGCCATCTTGTAGAATTTTTTAAAAAAGTTTCTTTTACACAATAATTGCTTTTTGTGTTCTGATTTTACAAACGTTGATTTCGTACATTTTCTTTTTTGCTTTTTGGTCGCTTACAAATTTTTCTGCGCTTATAATTTCGGCCTATTTTTTATCGGCTCAGTGAAATAATTTAGAGTCGTTTCAATGGAAACATTTTTTTTAATGCTCACCTCGGGATCGCGCAAAATGATAAAAATCTTAATAGAACTTATAGTTTTTCATGACAACATTTTTTTCGGCTTTTATTTTCCTTTTTTTCGGTTTTTCAGGTTTCGGCTTTCATTTTATCGGCTTATTGGCTTCGTATTGTGTCTTTCGGCGAGCGAAAAAAGTTTATGTTGGTGTGTGTCAGTGTTTGGGTACTAAGAGCGGGGGGCACTTAATAACTTCTTTTTACTATTATTTTTCGACCTTTTTCAATTTTGCTTTTCTTGGGTTTATTAGGTTTCGAACTGTATTATATCGGCTTAGTGGCTTCATGTTGTTTCTTTAGACGAACAAACAAAGTTTTTTGAGTGTTTTGATGGCGAGGGGGACTTATTAACTTTTCATAAGTTTTAAGTCTTGTTGATTTTTTTGTCGGCTTAGTGGGTTTCCGACAAGGTTTTTTAGCCTAGTTACTGCTGGATACATTATCTTCCGATGCTTATTTCACATTCTATTGTCTTGGTTCGTTTTTGTTTCAAAACTGGCCTTATTCATTTTGATAGGTCTATTTTTCTTGGTTTCGATCGCCAGTGGTGCGAAGCTCAGCTTCTCTGTGTTAAATGTACCCATGGTAACTAAAGAATAACCACCCCTACAAAGAGTTCGTATTCACAGCGCCAAAAATTAAAAACCTATTCACAACGCCGAAAATTATAAAGCTATTCACAACGCTGAAAATTAAGAAGCTATTCACAGCGTAGAAATTTTTATGCTGCAAATTACAAACAATTGGTTAATTAACTGCGGTAAATTTTCGACATCACAGTCTAGTATTCGTTCAAATTCCGGGCTCGTCTGCGGTAAAACTACTTGACCACCTCAGTTTGGTAAAATTTCCGTTTTGTATTTCTGAGAAGTGTATTTAAAACAATCATTTTGCGTTGTGAATAGCTATTAAATTTTCGCCGCTGGGAATAGCGTTATAACTCTCGGCGTGGTGAATATTCGGCTCTGTGGGAATAGATTAAGTATATCCAGTAGTACTAACTCTTTCGTCTTTTCAGGAGCATAAATTCCTCTACCTGGTGCAGATCCCACAGAAGGCGCTGTTCTCTGTGCCCAGGAATTATAAACTGGTGGCAGCTCCTCTGTTCGAACTCTACGACAACTCCCCCGGCTACGGACCCATCATATCCAGCCTGCCAAACGTCCTCTCACGCATGCACTTCAACTACCTCTGACAACCCCAATCACCTCCCTTGTTATTTGAAAAAACGTTCACTAGTCCCATCTCTGTTGTTGTTTTTATAGTTATTCGCTGCAATGTTATAGCCTCGAAGTCGCAATGCGAGAATTTGCCTCCATTTTGGCTTGAAACAGTCGATTATTAATGTTGAATGGTTTTAATTGTCTGGATTGAGATTTATTTTGAAGTTCCCAAATCTTTGAGTTTTTGACCTGAACTTATTGGCTGAGTTAATAAAAATGGGTTTAAATGTTGCAGAGTCGTGAAGATTTCAAAATATTTCTTCAAAGAAGAAAGTCGTTGAGCTTCTAAACAAAAGGAAGCTCCATTTAAGAAATGAGGCTGAATATAAATTATTTATTGCTTAAATGCTCTTGATGAATGATGGAATCCGCCACATTTTGTGGTGCAACTGAAAGTGTTTGTTTTCTGCTCTTAAGTTAAATTATCTCTCGTTGAATTCAATTCTTGTGCAATGATACTTTTCCAAACATTCTGGAAATAGTTAAGTAGCTATCAGCTATTATGTTTGATTTTTTCAAATGGTAATGTGATAATTGTTGAGCGAACTGTAGCGTCCGAACGTGAATACGCAATAACGCAAGTTTCACATACGACGATGAAAGGATTTTTGAAGTAGCATCAATTTGTCGCTAAAGACTTTTCTCCAGAATTTTCAGTATCATTCATGTAATTATGCAAATCATTCAATCATATGATACAACTAGAGGTACCAAAACAGAGCCTTGCGGGACAACAAAATTAATTTGACTATAATCTAAGATTTCAAAGTTTGCTCAAATAGAATTTCAATGAGTTCTTCATTCATTGACATGACAAAGCGTCGATCACAAATTTTTGCTGATAAAAATGTCAATGAATGAAACACTCGTTTCAATTTTTTAATCTATTGTACTGCGTAAAAATTCAGTGATTTCAGCCAAAGCCTTAGTCCAGATCTTTCTGGGTTGAAACTGGACTTCCTTAATTGAAGTATTTTTGTAAGCTTATTTGTCAAAAATTTGGTCCGATCGCTGTTGATAGGAAGGAGGAAAGTTGGATTGTTCTTGGAGTTGAAATTTCTATCACAAGTATGCGTTAGGTGGGGTGAAGTGAAATACCATTCTAAAGTTACTTCAGTCGCGATTCAAGCCTTGTTAAATATTTTGGGAATAACTGCGCGTTGTCAAGACAAACAAATTTGAAATTTAATTTTCTAGTTAATTTCGAGCGAAGAGTAGTTGAAGTCTAAAATAGAATAGCGTTAAGTCCATTGTTCTGACTTTCGAAGAAAGTTACAGAATGTTTTTGCTCGGTGGTCGGCGTTTTTCCGCCATCTTTTCGGACGAGCGCGCGCGAGTTCAATCGACTTTAAACGAGCAACCGCGATTTTTTAACTTTCTTCACTTGGGGCGCATGAAACCGATATCACGTGATAATCAATGTTTTTTCTCGGTTTTTTCCATTGTGACTTAATCCTCAAGCTTGTGAAAAGACAAAAATCGAGGTTTTTTCCTCCAGTTGGTTCCCTGGGAGAAATCCTAGTTATTCCGGGGAAAAGTGGGGGATTAAAGGGAAAACTGATAATTTTGTGAATTTTTTTAATGTTATTTTTACTACCACCATAGCCGAGCACTTTACTACCACCATGAATTTGGGGGTACAAAAACGACCTCGCAGGATAATCGCTATTTTTTTGGCTTTTTTACAATGTGCCTAGTTTCCGAAGCTAGGGAAAAGACACAATTAGAAGTTGTTATTGAAATCTTTTTTAGAAAATTTTGTGCTTTGTCTTTCAAATTATTGAATATGCACAAATAATACAGCCGGGTTTGCGTCCCTGTTGTAGTTTGAGCGTAACAGCCTCACAGACAACTTTTCATAAAAGAGTCTTTCATCAAATTTTCATGTGGTTCGGTAATTAAAAATTTGATTTTTGTTCAAAGCATTGTATCGTGCTCAGCACAGTTAGTAGCACGGGTTTTTGTTGAGCAGTACTTGAGGATTCTAATTCAAGTGGGAAATTCGTAGTGTGGTTTGACATTAAAAAAATGCAATTGTGAGGACTAAAGCAAAGCGTGCAAACACTAAAAAGTCAAGAATCCTGATGGTGGCTCCCGCCGAGACTAGGTGTGATTTTTTTTCTGAGATTTTTGTTACTTTTGCGATAAGCAAGCGTTATCAAATTGGAATACAGACTTTTTTCGGGTTTACAACTAGTTTAACAAAATCACTTGAATCACTTCATTCATGTGCACTTCATTTACAAGCTATTAAACTCAATCTCAGGCGTTCTTGACATAGAGGTAGCAACTACATAATAACTAGTTATTGTAGGGTAATTTCAGGGGCGACTTGAAAATTTTAGAAATTTTATAAAACCCCTTTTTTTTGGCTCAACTAGTGTCTGCTCAACGATTGTCGGCCTTGTTTCTGCTACCTGAATTTTGTTTGTAATGTTGCTAATTCGAAATTCAATTGTTTTTCTTGGCATGTTTGCGTATACTTTCTGTTTGATTGAAACGTATTATGAAAGTAAATGGGATTGGGTTTTTGTTTTAACTTTTTTGAGAGGCTTTGGAAAATTTTATCACTTTTTCGCAAAAAAATTGTTTCTCGGAAACACTTTACCGTTTTTGTTAAAAAAGAGTATCCATAAACAGATTGCCTAAATTCTTGAGTGCATGTATACTCTCCAGGTCTTTTTTTTGCTTTACCCTTTTGTCTACAGCCTTCAAAAAAGTCTGTGGGGGAATTTTGAACCGATATTTTTGATTTTTTTTTTTGTTTTTTCAAAAACTAACCTAGCAAATCTAAGTTTTTGATTTCAATGAACGGAGCAGACTTGAAATGCTCCCCTCCTTTAGCGGCTACATCAAAATTTTTTACACATTAAATTATGGCCCTCGGAATAGTCAAGTTTTTGATTTTTTCGCTGTATTTTGAATCTTCTTACATTAGCGATCAGCGTAGTGTATTAGTACGAACCTTCTTTTTCCTAGCCGTATGCCAATAAAAGTAGTCATTGAAAATTGAAAGTCATCACTTGTTTGCTGGCACTTTTGTTGTAATCGCGATCTAGTATTGGAAATGTCATAGTATCTGTTATATGCTTTATTTGTGGCTAGTTTTTGTGACATATTAAGCGTGCGTGGCTGAGTGGTTAGTGTTTGAAACTCGAAATCTCTAGCTCGCAGATGGAATCCGAGACCTATCCAAGTTTTGACTAATTCGAGGCTTATATTTTTTCTTATTGCACTTTATAGAGCTGCTTTTTGTCGTGTTCTTGCTAGTATTTGCGAAGCGAAGCCTCACCTCTGTAATGGGAAGCTGCGCGGTATCAGAGGCCACTCACAACTATTTTTCACAAAAACTTTTTGTCCTCGTAAAAGTCAGTTTTTTGGGCGTCTTTTCTGAATTTTAGGAATTTGATCTAAAATACGCTGCCATACCTGATATTTTGGGTTCAATCCAATGAAATGATTGACGCAAGATCTTTTGTATACGCGTTTAAGACCAGACATAAAAAATTATGGCACTGGGAAATGTCAAACTTTTGATTTAAAAAAAAACTTCTTGATTTTCTCCAGAATTACCTTGTCAAACCTAGGTTTTTGGATTTGATGGAAATAACCGATTGAGTGAATCTCTTCTGGATAATCGGCTGCGCCCAATTTTATTTGAACAAAAGGCCACACTTCTCGGAAATGTCAACTATCTGACTTGTTGACTGTTTTTGAAATTTTCTATAACTATCCTGCCGAATCTGATACGATAGATTTAATTGACATAGCAGGTTGTTGTTACATTTACTTTTATACTTTGGTGCGACCACTTTTGCTAAGAAAAAGTATATGGTCTTTAACAACTCGAAAATTACCGTGCCATTTCTCAGGTTAAGTGTTCAATCGAGAAACACGATTTTGGGAGTCTTCGCTACTTTACCAGCCGCGACCTTCTTTAAGCTGAATAAAGTTACGGATTTCGGAAAATTTAAATTTTAAACTTGACCGTTTTTTAGAAAGTTTTTGAATTTTCTTAAAAACTGCCCTATCAAATCTGAGATGAAAATTCCAATAGAAAGAAGCTGTTGCATGAATTTTTTCTGTAGAAGCGGCTACTCCTTAATTTATTATAAGAGAAAGGTAATTTTTTGGAAAATTTTTGCAATCTCTAAGTTTTCACTCATTTTATTTCACATTTTCTTCCACTAATTTTGTCATCATTTTTCACTTATGCTTTCATGATTGTGTTGTATCGCAAGTAGTGCGAAGCTCCGCTTCGCCTCTGTGTTTAACTATCCATTTTTGACGGTTTAAATGACGTCATCTGAAAATTAGTAATGCCGTTAGCCCAAAACCGACAAAATCAACTGCAGCCTTAATCAATAAAATATGGGGACTAAATCATTAAAATTTCTGAAAGTATTTCCACCACACGCCATATTATCAAGAATGAAATGTTTTACACCTGTTTATGCAATGTTTGAATCAAATAGCATCTTTCAATTCTATCATTTTTTTTGTCGAATTTTGCATCAGATCTGTTGAAAAGCAGTCTGAACGTTCACGGCTTGGCCCTGATACCGGCATTATTTTTTGACGATCTCAGGAAGACTAAGCTAAATTAGCTCTTCGAAAACGTTTGCAATGTTGGCTGGTCTTTACTACTGAAACATGTATGAAAGAAGTAAAACTGCAAACAGCAGTGAATTAGTGGTCAAGGCTGGTAGCTCTTTACTTACACAATACATTTATAATAAATCAAACAGTATTTATAATTTATTTCAAGGCCAAATTTTTTGGCAAAAGAAGTGTAAGATTTGATTTTTTGAACAACATTTCGTCTGGCAGAGTAATTTATTTACAGAAACTATTTTAGTTCAGCATGTACAAGTGATTGAAAATGAAAGGACTATTTTATGCTTAAGAGTTGTCAAATTTAATACATGCAATACTCAAATATTTCTCAAAATTACCGCCTATCGTAACATATCACCCTAAGTTTTTCTCCTGAAATCAATAGACTTTTCAGGACAGGTTGAATACCGACAGAAAGTTGGAGATACCCCACCTGAATTGTTCTCTGACGATTCGAGTAACTTTTTAGTGTAGTCTCATTATCAACAATTTTTTTTGGGAAAAAAATCAATTATAAAAGTTCAAAAAAGCTACTTTTTTTGCATTCTTAGGTTGAAGTACCAAAATGAAGCTAACCAATCTTCTTCTCTAACTAATTCCATGTTTTTTTCAACAAACGGAAAGCATGCATATTTTATAATATCTTGCACTATTCAGGTGCTCTTAATTATTGTCAAATGTTAAAAGAAGCAAAAATAAAGCCTTGTTCTGACCTTAATATTTTTTACTGAATGAAAGATCGTACAATTTCTTAGTTTACTTTTGAACCAAACTTCAATAAGAGCCGAATTGAGCAGCAAAGAGCCAAAAATAATTTGCTAGTGAATTGGTCATCGTTTTTTTTTCATTCCAGAGCAATAAATTGAAAATTAAGTCAAATCGTTCACATTGGCAATTGTCGTCGTGTGTTTTAGTTTTTTTTTAAGTAATTGTTTTCAATGCAAGATCAGGTGCCGCAGATAATCATCGCAATTGCTGAGAAAAACCGCTTTGAAATTATTCAAATTAGTCCAATTTGCGCGAGTAAAGCAATCGAGTAACGTTCTTTTTATGGAAATTGATTGTTTATTCTTAGAAAATTTTTTATCACCAAAAGAAAAACTAAGTTTGGAAACTTCAAGTTTGGCGCTTTGGTTATAAAAATGAAGTCAAAATAAAAAAGAAAGATTGCAAAAAAAAAATTTGCATTTTTTTTCGTTTTTTTTTTTCAATTTTTGAAAAGAACTGTTGTCGTATATGCCTAATTCACTAACTTTACGCATTTGTGTAGGTCTCTCATTACAAAACGACACTAATTTAAATTTAAAAAAAATATTTTTTGTAGTTTATATGAATGTGGTCGGAATATTCTGCTACTTGCTTTGCAACCGGCTATTCGTGTTATCATAGGTATTTTAATAGCATGAAATATCCGCTGGAATCAATTTCCTGAAACGCGAAGGATTTTTTTATTTTCGAAAGTAGATTTTTTATTTCAGAATGTTTAAAATCAGCAGTTAAGATGAAAATATTGAGGAAAAGATTTCAAAAAGATCATACAATTTCTTGCAAAAACTTGGTCGTCAATAAGTTGAGCTAAATTAAATAAACGTTTCTCGGCAAGAATAACCTTTCATGAAAAAGATCCATGTTAAAGTTTGAGATAAGCATCGAAGTGGACATCCTGAAAAGTAATACAATAACTTAACGAGATACTGCCCTTAAAAACGCACAAATTGCTATGAAGATTGCTTACTCTTGCGATTAGCAAGCGTTATCAAATCGGAGTATAGACTTTTTTCGGGGTAACAACTAGTTTAAAAAATTCAGCTGAATCACTTATGATGCTGCAATGCTGCTCTGACATGTTCAATTTCATGAAAGTTCAAATTTAACTACCGGGAACTAGTTTTACTCATGCTATATCTAGAACTCAAACCATTGAATGTATAGTTATAGAGTTTTGATTTTGATATTCTGCTGAAGTTTTTTCCTAGATGATTTTTTGACGAAAATTTTTGACTGAGTTGCAGTTGATTGGATGTCGGCTTTCATTCTGTCGCCTTATTTATTGATTTTTTCCTCAAAATATCCGGTAGTGCTTTTAAGATCAATAAGTGTCTAGGACGCCACTAAGACCTCTTCGAAAACTTAAACTAATTTCAAACACGAAAACAGTATATTTCAAACACGAAAAAAAAACACGAAGAATTTTTTTTCTTGTTTTTTGATTTTTCTTTTTTGATTTTCCACTTCAATTGTAACATTGTTCGAAGTTTGTATGCTTTTTAGCGCCATGGTGTACTCATCCTATAATTGTTGTATCGCAAGCGGTGCGAAGCTCAGCTTCGCCTCTGTGTTGATTATGAATAAGTAATGCACAAGGACTGCTCACTTAATGTATGCTAAACAAGCTTAAAAAATTTCAGGAAAACTATTTTCTTTTTAGATGATGATTTTCGGCTTCGTGGTTGTCAGTTTAAGCTCTGTTGGTTTGTTTTCCAACTTATGTAGTCTGATTTGCTTACGCTTTTTATATAGCTATCGAGGATCCCATGTGGGCGGTACATGAAGTTTTTTCCTAGATGATTTTTTTGACGAAAATTTTTGACTGAGTTGCAGTTGATTGGATGTCGGCTTTCATTCTGTCGCCTTATTTATTGATTTTTTCCTCAAAATATCCGGTAGTGCTTTTAAGATCAATAAGTGTCTAGGACGCCACTAAGACCTCTTCGAAAACTTAAACTAATTTCAAACACGAAAACAGTATATTTCAAACACGAAAAAAAAACACGAAGAATTTTTTTTCTTGTTTTTTGATTTTTCTTTTTTGATTTTCCACTTCAATTGTAATATTGTTCGAAGTTTGTATGCTTTTTAGCGCCATGGTGTACTCATCCTATAATTGTTGTATCGCAAGCGGTGCGAAGCTCAGCTTCGCCTCTGTGCTGATTATGAATAAGTAATGCACAAGGACAATCACTTAATGTATGCTAAACAAGCTTTAAAAATTTCAGGAAAACTATTTTCTTTTTAGATGATGATTTGATTTCATCAATTGATCTGAAATGGATGATTTGATTTGATCTTCTGGATTTGATTCTTGCACTCCAATTGTCAATAGAGCAGACTGAATTCACTACTTATTCGGAAATAAACTGCTTGTTTATTTTCTCTCTCTCTAAGGTAAGCCAGGTTTTAATTTGTTGTAAAATTGTCATTTGTTATTTTCTGAAGGACTTTAGGTTGCGATTGATTGATTGATTGAGAGATGGCACCTCGGGACTACAAGCAGGAGCTGGAGTACCTGGAGAAGAGGGGCAAGAACATGTGGAGGATCAAGAAGGGCTTCGTGTCCAACATGAATGTGGACGGACTCTTCTTCGTCAACGACCACCTCGAGAAACTCATGTTCGACGAACTACGCATGCACTGCAAGTTCCAGGTACACACATCACACTACCTACACCACATACACATACTCACACCACATACTGGTACCATACAAACGAGCAGCCGTGGCTGAGTGGGTAAGAGGCGCAAAAAAGTCATAGGTTGAATCGTGGGAAGTATGGTACTCATAAAATAAAACTCGTCTTTTTATTTATTCTGCAGATTTTTTTTTGAAATTATTTTAATTGATTAGGAAGTGCTAAATGAAGCTTCTACAACTAATTTTGTTGTCATAAATTTTTGCTTCTTGAGTTTTTTAAATAAAAATCTTTCCCTATTATAACACATACTCGTTTGCTTTATGTTATCGAAAATAGGCTTAAAAGCAAATTTTTCAGGCCGGTGTTTCTCGACACAGAAAACATTTTGAAATTTTTTAAAAGACGTTCGAGTACGACTGAAATGACTTCAAAATGATATATCACTGGATCCATTCTATTGATTGTTTGTGGTACCTGATTTTGCGAGGAAAAAAGTTTTTTTCTTAAAAAAAAACTACAATATACCCGAAAGCAGGAGCGGATTTGGGGGGTGGGGGGCTTACGCCCTTCCCTCAGGGATTCGACCCCCTGCCGACCCAAAGGGTCCCCCTTTGTACTATTTTGAGATATCCATATTTGGTGACGGACCCTAAAGTTTTTCTAAAGGCGCCTTTTTTGGCCTGTTTTTCAAAATTTTGCCTGCGGCGCTGAAATTTTAACAAAACAGGGTCTTTTCAGTGCTTTGGGAGAGCTCGCAAAATCAATTCGGGTTGACCTAAAAAAAAGGTCGACAAAAATTTAGTTTCGAAATTTTTAGTTTCGAAATTTTTGAAAATCCGCCCCCCCCCCTCGAAAAAATCCTAGATCCGTCCCCCTGCCCGAAAGCAAAGTTCCTCCCCACTTCCAGCATTTTATATATTGTATGCATTTGATGTAGACTCAATTTTGGTCCCCAAATTGTTTGCGTCCCAAATTAACTAATTTTTTCTTCAATGAAATTTTAGGAAAAACTTTGGTTTCAAACGAATCAAAATTTCAATTCAATTTCAAATGAAATTTAGAATTGTTTTTTGAAATGCAAATTGCTGGGTAATGTATTAAATATAACCTAAAAGACTTGTGCAATTGTGGGTTTGTGTAGGGCACTGGTGGATTCCTTCCAGCCATGAAGCAGATTGGCAATGTGGCTGCTCTTCCAGGCATAGTGGGCAGATCCATAGGCCTCCCGGATGTGCACAGTGGGTATGGATTCGCCATTGGGAACATGGCTGCCTTCGACATGGATAATCCGGACAGTATAGTGTCCCCGGGTGGAGTGGGCTTCGACATCAACTGTGGAGTGAGACTATTGAGGACAAACTTGTCAGAGTCAGATGTCAAGGTCAGTGGATTTTAAATTTTTCCAGGAAGTACGTTCAAGGAGAAGTATCGTGGACGCCTCCTCAGCATCAAATTATGGTGCATCTTGTTCTGTATTTGTGAATGTTATCCGCCTCAGAATAGATTTATTGTTTTTTTTGTGATTTTTGTTTTCTTTATTTGACTGGATCTGGTGCTTTTTTTTTCAAGCTCATTGTTTTTGTGTTTTAAGGTGTTAATGATGAACGGTAGCTCGAAAGTACTCCGAACTATTACAATATTGATCAAAGTTCTGATGTGCTTTTATCGGATTTATCTTACGGCTTTACTTTTTTTCGGAGAGGTGCTACATTGTTCATGCTGTTGGCTTTGGCTAAAATATCAAATTTAAACGAGAATTTGAGCCGTGTACTAAGAACGTGATTGTTTCGGCGTAAACTTTCCAAAAAGAGCTTTATAGGGATAAGAAAATAGCCGTCCTTGGCTTTGTTTTCAAATTTTCTCATGCAATAATGTTTCACAACCGCCACAAAATTTCGATTTAGCCTGTGAAAGACCAGCTGGCACAGTCCATGTTCAACCACATCCCAGTGGGAGTGGGGTCGAAGGGGGTGATTCCGATGGGTGCCAGAGATCTGGAGGAGGCGCTGGAGATGGGCATGGACTGGAGTTTGAGAGAGGGGTATGTGTGGGCGGAGGACAAGGAACACTGCGAGGAGTATGGACGGATGCTACAGGCAGACTCATCCAAGGTCTCATTCAAGGTCAGTTGGAGATAGAAGACTTAATAAATAGGGAGTGCGATGTTTGTGAGTTGGAGCTAAATTTAAATCAGACCCAGTTTTTGGTTAAACGACTGAATTATATATTTTTTGAATATGCATCATGAAATACTCATATGGTTTGTATGATGTATATATTGATAGAATTGAAAAAATTAACATGCTTTTTCATCATTATCTAAGAAGGCAAATTGTGCTAAATTGATTTCGCTTCAGTTTGGCTGTCCGAATGAAAATTTTGCTCACATTTTTTTAGACATGGTAAAAAAATTGATATTTTTTTGGGAAAGTTTTCACTTTTCGTAGGCCAAGAAGAGAGGTCTTCCCCAGCTGGGAACTCTAGGAGCGGGTAATCACTACGCGGAACTGCAAGTGGTGGATGAGATATACAACAGCCAGGCAGCTAGGAAGATGGGCATTGACTTCAAGGGACAGGTGAGCCATACATTCTTTTTTACCCTTGCGATAAGCAGGCCTTATCAATTTTTGTCGGCTGACTTGTCAGGCTACTTTCTGAAGACTTTTTTTGCAACCAATCTCCTCATAAAATCATTTGCGAACTTCCTTGTAGTCGAAACTACTTTTGCGCATTCGGACTGATTCAGACTAAATCGAACTGCTTTTGCGAGATTTGTATTTGGGTGCTTTTCGTACACAATCATGTATTACAAATAAGCATCAGAGGTGATCGCGTGGTATAACATAATGCAGCTATTTTATATCGTGATTCTATCTTAATTTTAAAGTTCTAAAATTTTTAGAATGACGAGGAAATCTTGCTCAAAAATTTTGCCTTGTAGACAAAATTAAAGTGAAGAAACATCGTTTTTAAAAACTCGAAATGATTTCTTTTTGATTTGTGGATCTTGTTGCAAAGATAGCTTGGAGGGGGTTTCATGTGCTGCTTGCACAGCAACCGATTACTTCGTGAAAATTGTGGATTTACGTTGTTATGGAGAATTGGTTTGTAGGTGTGTGTTATGGTGCATTGTGGGTCACGTGGATTTGGTCACCAGGTGGCCACAGACGCACTCGTCCAGATGGAGAAGGCCATGAAGAGGGATAAAATAGAGGTGAGAGAAATTTAGACCATTTTTCTCTCCCCCCCCCCCCTACCTACCTCACAGAAACATCTTTTCTTTAGAGGGGCTAACAAGGCTCAGTATGAACACCAGAAATAGTTGTCATATCTTAATAAGCCTGCATGCCAATTTTGTAAAAATTACTTGGAAAAATTTGCAGGTTGGGGGAAAACGAGAACGAGCCAAAATATAAAAATGCAAAATAGATAGTCAAATATGTAAGAGACAGATCGTCTCTTGTGCTATTATTTACACTTGTGAAGCGAGTGTATTAGTACGAACCTTCTTTTTTTCCAACCTAAGTCGCAAATAGTAGTTCCACTTTTGGGGTACCTTTGCAGCTTTTTGATAGAATTTGCTTTGAAATTCGAAAAGTAATAGCTTAAGCCAGTTAATGCGTTTTTAGTTCATGAAATAACCGAAAAAATATATATTTGTTTGAAAACACAACAATAATGAAAACTCGATTTCAGAAATTTTCTAACTCAATATATCGCAATTTTCTGAAATGCATTATTTATGAATATTGTGGTTTAATGCTTTGCGATTTGTTACATGCAAAGTTAGTGTGGATGCTTTCAGTTTGTTATATTCTTTGTTATAACTTGCAAAATTGAGTCTATTTGTATTTGGTGCGACTTTTGCTGAATAGCATTGGCAAGTTATTAGCATATGTAGCTGCTTTATTTGTGACTAGTGTTTGTCGGTTGTTAAGCTTGCGTGGCTGAGAGATAATTTGTGCTTGAGACTCAAAATCTCTTGATTGCAGTAAGTCGCAGATTCGAATCTTACTCGTAGCCGAGTTTTTGCTTATTCGAGGCTTATTTCTTCTTTTTCTTCGCTTCTGAGTGGAAGGTTGCTAGCGTCAGAGCAAATAAAAGAACAATGACAATTCCTACAAAAAACTAAACTTTCTTGCTGCCGAGTAACTAATTTTTCTCCGCCAAAATCAATTTTTCAGAGGTTTCACTAATAATTGTGAGCTTAGTATTAATTGAAAATACTAAATTGACTGCTTTATAATGTTATTCAGACCAACCAAACGGGTTGTGGAGGCATTATGATCTAAGGTATGTTTTTTGCGCACAAATATTTTCTTAATTTAATTCGTTAGTATTAGACGGCACAAACATCGGAAGAAAAGTGAAAGAAAATAAGAATACATAATTTTTTTTTGTTATTTTTTGACGTAATTATTTCTAACTTTGTTGTTTATAAATCATGACTGTTTTAGGTGAATGACAAGCAGCTAGCGTGTGCTAGGATTCACTCGCAGGAGGGACAGGACTACCTCAAGGCCATGGCCACAGCCGCCAACTTCGCCTGGGTCAACAGGAGCAGCATGACCTTCCTCACCAGACAAGTGAGCTGTCAATTATTGGCTCAGGGGAGGATTTAGGGGGGGGGGGTTTACTTTTTAAGTCCCTCCTGGGTACTTTTTAAGAATTCCATTTTTGACCGACCGACCGACCCTAAAATTTTGAGGGTGGAGGGTGGAGCGCGCGCCGAAAAAACGCGATTTTTTGGTCAACATTTTCTAAAAAGTTTCTAAAAACGCCTTTTTGGCCTGTTTTCTCAAATATTTGCCTGCCGCGCAGAAAGTTTGGTCAAAACAGGGAGTAAACAGTGCTTAGGGAGAGCTCGAAAAATCAATTCAGTCGACCTAAAAAATCGACAAATTTTTCGAATTTTTTTGAAAATACGCCCCCCCCCCCCCCCCTCGAGAAAATCCTAGATCGGCCCCTGCATTGGCTGTTTCCTTTTTTGGTCGCCTTTCACTTATAATGTTGTCAATAAATATAATAAGTTCCAAGTTATCCCGTTGTTTTTTAAACTGGTGAATTCAGTATTGTGTTATACAGCCAAAAGGAAATACTTGGTTTATCATAAAGGTGCATACAGTTAAAATGGTATATAGTACGTGAATTTTATATCAGGCAGAAATAGTTGCAGTCACTTGAGTTCCAATTGCAGATAGAAAACTGGGTCTTTTTTCTGTCAGAACGCAAAAGAACGTGTCGTTCTGACAATAAATTTTAATGAAATAAATCTTGGCTTGGCGAACAAACTAATAATTGTGAACCGATTTGTTCTTCATATCTTCTTGCATCGAAACAAGACGCTTTTAGCCATAATCTAATAAAAGTAAGGCCACTATACTGGAAGACATTGGAAACGCATCATCAAGTTTTCGATAATTTTTCCCTCAAATTAAACATGGTTAAAGACACTGAAATCTTACAAAATGAAGCTGTTGAAGTAAATTTGATCACTTTTCAGCGCGTAATTTACATTTAATTTTAAAAATCTTTTGTAAGTTTTTCGAAGTCAAAATCTCCGGATTCACCGCGGAGTGGTTATTTTAGCTGAAGTTGTATGTTTTTTTTTATATTAGTTGCAGTGTGGCCAACTTAAGTTGAAGGTGTGTTTTTATCGCTATGATTGATAGACGATGTTGTTGTACTCTATAATGACCGCTTTCATTTTGCTCTATGTTAATGTGAATCTAGGACTGTTCAAAATAGAAGTTCGTCCACTCTTTTTATTCAGGCCATCTCTAAGATGTTCAACTCCACCCCAGATGATCTAGACATGCACGTGATCTACGACGTCTCTCACAACATTGCCAAAATAGAGACACACATAGTTGACGGGAAAGAGAAGACTCTTCTAGTCCACCGGAAGGGATCCACACGTGCATTCCCCCCACACCACCCCCTGATACCAGTGGACTACCAGTTAACTGGACAGCCGGTCCTCATTGGGGGCACTATGGGCACGTGTAGTTATGTGTTGACTGGAACTGAACACGGAATGTCCGAGACATTTGGAACTACATGTCATGGCGCTGGTCGCGCGTTGTCGAGAGCGAAGTCGCGCCGAAATTTGGATTATACGGAAGTAAATAACGTCGATCTTTCCGATTTCAAAGTATAAAACCACAGAGGAAACGATACAGCTTTTGATTATTATATGAGAGAGTTGAAGTGTCCACAGTCGAAATTGAAAATTGAAAAAATCAGAACGCTTGAAAATTGTTAATTTTTTGCTAATTCAAATTTAAAATGAATGCTAAAATAAGTCAAAATCAGAACTTAAGGATGCCATGCATTCTCAAAAACATGATACGCAATTTTTAAAGTAAAGCGGCAAAAGAAATTGGCCAGTTCAAGGTGTAATTTTTATTGGTCTTATTTAGTCTAGGTAGAAACAATTGACGCGTTATGGACATTGCCGCTCACCGGCCATAGAACATAATTTGTGTATTTTTTCAGGTGTTAAATAAATTGCACGAGCTTGGCATTTCAATCAGAGTGGCCAGTCCCAAGTTGGTGATGGAAGAAGCACCAGAGTCCTACAAGAATGTGACAGATGTAGTGGACACCTGTCACCAGGCAGGCATCAGTCAGAAGTGCGTCAAACTCAGACCGATTGCCGTCATCAAGGGATAAAGAGACTTCTTACGTAAATAACACGACATATATTCTTTGTGAATCTTAATATGTGTTCTTCCCAGCACCTATGTTCCATGGGCAAAAATTGTTAACCTTCTTCTGTCTGATTTTTTTTGTTTATTTGTTTAAACATTTTTTTACCACTCTTTGTGATTTTGATTAGTTATGCTGACTTAACATCATGGGTTACAGCGGAAAAAAGAAAAGCTTGACACAAATTGGATATAACGCAACCCTACAAATTCACATCTATTTGAAATGAATGTTATCGTCTTTTAAAAGGTTACTTACGTCTTTTGTGAAACGACTTTTAATAACTGGAAGTAGTGCTTTGAAAAACCTTTCTGTAAAATCTTGTCAAAAAACCTGTACATTAAGATGCCAAGCTCGGGTACTTTGGTAGTGGTTTGGATTCCGCATACTATGTCCCAGGAATCCGCATTTTTTGCGTTGGATTCCGCAACATTTCGAAAAGCGTTTGAAGTAGGAAACCTGATGGAATCGAAGGAAAAATGTTCAAATACTAGTTGCTAAAATTGAAATTTAGCTAGCAAGCAAAAATTTGGAATCCAGTGACAATGCGTATTATGGAGACAAATGCTAAGACATGCCTTCTTTTGGATTCCGCAGACAAATGTATTTTTGCAGTTGGAGTGAATAGAGGAAAAATGCCACTGAATTCCACTGTTTGTCAGTGGATTCTGCAATCAGTTTGTTCTTTTTTGTCACTGAGTTCCACAATTTGTCAGTGGATTCCGCAGTCAGTTTTTCTTTTTGTCATTGGATTCCACAAACATATTTTTAACTGTTTCAACATGTATCGGCGCGGACCCAGTGTTTCATCACCTGATTTCTGTAAATTGTTGAACGCTCCCGCCAGTGAACGTCTAATTTCAGCGTATGTGACAATAATATGTGTGAGCAAATGAGACAATTATAAACCTCTCAATTTTTCCGCAAGTCCTTTTTCAATTTCAACTACCTTTTAAATAACCACATTTTTCTGCTTCATTGTAAGACAATTGTCTTGAAGGCTGAGAGAGGATTGTAATATGAAGGGACTTATCTCACTCGTTCAATTAATCGAGCAGCAAAATTTACCCCGTCGAAAAGATAATTATGCGGAATAAAATGACCAAAAAGGAAACTCATGAGCAACTTTACAGAAATGTCTGATACGTTTATGCCATTTTTGAACATATAAGAGAGAATGAATTTCAAAATTAGTACTGAATAACACATAATAATTGAAGTTTAACTAAACAAATAACTTAATTAATCTAAGGCAAAAGAGCAAACGAGAATTTTGTTCGTAGTGGTCAGGATTCGGACCATATACCTCCGCCCTGACGGTCGCGTTCTTTAACCGCAAGATCAAATGGCCTTAATATAGGTTGTCTTTTTCTCCCATTACATTTCAGCTCAACTGGTTTAACAGATGAAACAGCACACAAAGCTAGCTGCAGCATTAGACAAGCTGCATCAGAAGCTGGATAATATAGAGCGGAAAAGCGTTTGAATACAATGAACTTTTAAATGTATTTCTACAGCTATTAACTCGTACACAGTGGATTAGCCAATGACCCAACTATAACATGATCTATCAGTAGAGGTACAAAGATCAGGTCTGGCTCATCCCGCACCGAAGTTTCATGGATAATAATCGATTATAATGGATTTTCGTTGACTAAAATGTTGTCAATATAATCGATTATCATGTTAAATTTAGACCACATAATGGATTTTTAATCGATTATAATCGATTATTTTGGAAAAATTTAAATCCATTATAATCGATTATAATCCATTTTTCTCAACAATATAATCGATTTTTTTTTCAAAGCTAAATCCAATATAATCGATTATAATCCATTTTTTTTTCAAAAAAAATTCTTGAAAAGCTAATCATTTGCTTTATGTTCGGAATCAGCTATCTCACGACTCATCTTTTAAAAAGAATGCAAAAGATGTAAAATTACAAAACAAATTATAAAGGAGCAATTTACGATTTGAAAATTTTGAAAAATTAAATAAATTTTAAAGTTTCGGTCTCGTTACTTTTCTTATTCGTATCTCGGTCTTCGTTTTCTCTAATCTCATTGGTTGGTGACATTTTTCTTTTCATCGATCCCGCTTCAGAGCCTAAAACACAGACGAATAAATTTTTTGATAAATCTTTGAACCTTTTTATGAAATCCTAGTTAAAATTAAGAAAAATTGTTTCAGTTTGCAAAAAATGGGTCATTTCTTTTCTAACTCAATAAACCAATTCAACACCAGAACTGAAAACAACTCAAGTGAGGCGGCGATTCTCCGCAAACGATGCACAGCAACCAAATGGTTATTCTTTAGCGGGTGTGGGATTCGATGATTCGATAGACGCAAAGAAACTATGCAAAAATCCTGATTAAATTTCTAGTGAACCATGTCCACCTTTCATTCCCTTCATCCCCCACGGAAATAAAGATTCAAGGCTGAAAGGCGGGAGCTGGGCCGGTGAAAAAAAACATGTTAAGATTTTTAGGTCCAAAAAGCTATACTTTAAAAAATAATAAAAGTAAAAGTCAAACGTGCTCACTAAATTAGACAAGTGGTTCCCTCGTATCTCGGATGGCAGTCGCAGTATAGGAACTTGAACATTGAGGCGACACACTTGCCATGCTGTCCACACCTAGGTCTGCCTGTCTCATCTATGCAAAACTCCTCCTGGTCCTCACAACTCTCTCTCGTGTTTTCAATCGAGTTTATTTAGAGCAAGAAAACAGAAAAAAAAACTAATAACTTTCAAATTTCGAAGAAAAAATAGATGACCTTAAAGTTTTTTGAATTTCTAAACAATGTATGACCGAACCTTTTTTGATCAAATAGACCCAATTTGAGAAAAATGGGTCAATAGGTAAAATTTAAATGTTGGTGGGAAATCTGATAATTAAACTCGATTTTCCAAACTAGAAGTCGATAATTCATGACTTTTACATTTCCGCTGTTTGTTCGAGGACTTTGCCTTCCTTTCAGCAAAGGAAATGAACTAAACTTGAAAAAAGTCAAACTGCAAAAAAAGTAATTTTGAGCCTGAAAAAGTTTCAAGATTTTTCTGGAAAAAAAATCATCGTGACCTATTATACAAAAAAGCAAACAAATGTATTGAACTGAAGTTTTATTTACACTAAGTTAGAAGATAACATTAAGTTATGAATTTTTGAAAAGCAGGGTTGTAAAGTGATTATTGACTGAATTTTTCTCAGTTCAAAGCTATACTAAGTTACAATGCTTTATGATTTTCAACACTAAATCCTTTATGAAATTTTATGAAATCCTAGTTAAAATTAAGAAAATTTTTTTTCAGTTTGCAAAAAATGGGTCATTTCTTTTCTAACTCAATAAACCAATTCAACACCAGAACTGAAAAAAAACTCAAGTAAAGTGCAAAGTTCAAAATTATAGAACATGATGTAAAGGTTTCATAGCAGTGGTTTTTTTTTTAAAAAGCATTAGAAGTTCTTAACGCAATTTTTTGTTTTCGACCAAAGATTGTGTTTCAGACAATTAATAGAGACTTTAAGGAAATGTTACAAGTGTTCAGAGCCACACATCTACAGAAAATGGGCAAAAATTGATACCAAAAAAATTTGATGATCGAACCGATTGTGTATCCAGTTTGTTCCATCTTTATTGCAAACGAACATCTGAAATCAGGGTTTGTACAAAACTTTAACTAATAGAATGGCTTGTACCAAACTTTCACAAATAGAATGGCTTGCACCAAACTTTCACTAATAGAATGGCTTGCACCAAACTTTCACTAAAAAAATTTGAACAATTTCTACGAAAAAAAAATTTACTTCCTTAAAAAAAATAAGAATACTGATCTTCAAAAACGCTCAAAATATTACTCATATATTAATTTATACTGACTTTGAGGTCAAAATTACTTACAATCTTTTGATCCAGCGCTCTCAGGGAAACCAGTCAGATCATTTAGAGCTTGTATCATACTCTTCAACGAACTTCATTGGTCCAGCACACAACTAAAACTTTGGTCAAAGTTAATAAATTTTTAACTTTTTTTTCGACAGCACGAGACAATATGAAGCTCAAGGCATTAACGCAAAAACAAAAACCAATTTAAATGTCAACAGTTGAATCAACAAACATACCTTGAATTGCAACTAACGTTTTGTATTAGAGCACGCCGGCTATTAAATGAATGTCATGCACCAAACTTTCACTAACAGAATGGCTTGCACCAAACTTTCACTAACAGAATGGCTTGCACCAAACTATCACTAATAGAATACCTTGCACCAAACTTTCACTAATAGTATGGCTTGCACCAAACTTTCACAAATAGAATGGCATGCACCAAACTTTCACTAATCGAATGGCTTGCACCAAACTTTCACTAATAGAATGGCTTGCACCAAACTTTCACTAATAGAATGGCTTGCACTTAACTTTCACTAATAGAATGGCGTGTACCAAACTTTCACTTATAGAATGGCTTGCACCAAATTATCACTAATAGGATGGCTTGCACCAAACTTTCACTTATAGAATGGCTTGCACCAAATTATCACTAATAGAATAGCTTGCACCAAATTTTCACTAATAGAATGGCTTGCACCAAACTTTCACAAATAGAATGGCTTGCACCAAACTTTCACTAATAGAATGGCTTGCACCAAACTTTCACTAATAGAATGGCTTGCACCAAGCTTTCACTAATAGAATGGCTTGCACCAAACTTTCACTAAAAGAATGGCTTGCACCAAACTTTCACTAATAGAGAATAACGAAACCTAACTGAGAGAATAACACATAACCTAACTTCACTTGATCTAGCGCTTTTAGAGAAATACAGTCAGATTATAGAAAAAATTGTAGCATCGTCACGCAAAAAACACATGTTGAACTTGCGCAAATTTTTCAAAACATTTTGCCAGCTGCTTCAAAAGCATTTTCCGGCTATTACTAGAATGACTTGCACCAAACTTACTTTTTAACGTAGTTTTATTTTATATTTCGAGTTATGAAGTCTCCAAAGATCTTTTTTGATCCGTTAACGTTTGATAGCATGCTTAAATGTTATGATCTTACTTTAATTAAAACAGCGTTAAAAGATAAAAATCTATTTAAAAAAGGGAAACGAGAACCTGTTACAATAATAGTTTCAATCAAAATTATTGAAAATTCGGCACATTTTTAGCACAAATTGAGACATATGCTTTTGTCCGAGATCATTCAGATGGGCACCATCTTCTAG